ACATGTGGGAGATGACTCAAAGGATAATGGGGAATAAAACAGTTTAGGAAGGGTCACATAAAGAAGGGAAAGGAGCGAGGGCACATACGGCAACTTTCCAAGATGTCTTTAAAACCAAACTACTCGTTTAGAGGCAGACGCAGTCGAGCAGTCAGGCATGGGCAGCAGAGTCAACAGTTACATTTAAACAAGCAAAGGCAAAATGCTCCATAATTTACAACAACCCAATCACACTGCTCATTCTTTTGAGGTTAAATGCTACTGACATAAGCTACACCTGAGTCCAATCAGTGCAGAGACATTGAGAAGATTCACACGAAAGGACTAAATTTGTCACAAATGGGTTGGTTTCCGATCTTAATGTAGCCAAGTTGCTTTACTCTGACCTCTATTGAACAAATCAACTTAATGGGCACTAGGAGTGCTATAAAACTTAACAATGGAGTGATTTTTAACTTTTAAAATATAGTTATGAAGCAAAATGTTGGATAGCTTCTACAATACTGGAAATCAAATTAAATCTAGATGTTTTTTAACAGTCTTGACAGATATAATCCTAGTTACCATGTAAATTTATGGTAAGCTGCTGTGATATTAGCCACAGGTGCTACTTTTAATATATGAGCCACATCTGGCTGGGAATAGAATTTCTCAGAGGACTGAAAATGACCTCACTATCAGACAATGGAAGGGAAAAATCAAGACCACTGTGGCATATAAAAAGCTGAAGATGTGGTCCACAACTAAATATTTCACATAAAATTCATTTTAACTGCAGTTGTAGGTTAAAAGATATTATGCTTTCAATATTTAAGAGGCGTAGATATACTTCAACCAAACAGCCAAAAGATTAAGAATGTAAGTCAGTTATGAATACCCTGGCTACGTATATAATACTAGTTTTCCATCCTTTGATCAATGTCGGGAAAAATGATGCACTAAGACTTGAAAAGAAAATTCTTTCATGGTTCCCAAGCACAAAACATGATTAGATACCACCAAGCATACCAAACCAAGATGTAACAATTACTGATCTCTAAGCAGCAACTCTCCAGCGCCAGGCCAACATCACTGGTTGGGTTTTTAAAGTTCTTTGGAGCCATTCATCACGCCCAAGAAAACATTCTCATAAGGTGAAATTTTTAAAAAATCATTACAAGTAATCACCATTCTAAGTCTGAGAACCAGCAATATCACCACAGACAAATACAAAGAGAAAACACAAGTTTCTCTTACTTACCCAATTCAAAAATAAAAAGAAGAATATGTATAAAATGTACAATTGTTTCCTTTTAAGAAACCCTTTCTGGGCTTCCCTGGTGGCGCAGTGGTTGAGAGTCCGCCTGCCAATGCAGGGGACACGGGTTCGTGCCCCGGTCAGGGAAGATCCCACATGCCGCAGAGCGGCTGGGTCCGTAAGCCGTGGCCGTCGAGCCTGCGCGTCCAGAGCCTGTGCTCCGCAAGGGGAGAGGCCACTGCAGTGAGAGGCCCGCGTACCACATAAAAAAAAAAAAAAAAAAAAGAAACCCTTTCTGAACCACTCAAAACCCATCATTTGCTAGAGAACTGGCAAGTGTGGAAATGTGATAGAGGATTTACAAAGATTGAATTTCCTATGAAATAACTCTTCCCAAATTAAACAAGCCTTCGTTATCTGAAAAAAATCTCTAAAAGAGAAATATTTCTATGAAAATATTCCCTACACCATTGCCCTACGCTGTAAGAACGGTAGCTACAAAGCCCTATAACATAACATTTTCCTTCTGACCTTCTCAAGTAACTTGAAGGGCTTGATTTTTTAGCTTCAACAGATCAATTCAATCTAGATGATGATTTCTATTTACTTTAACAAGTAACTGGATCTATGCCTGATCTCAATGGGCATCAAGATCCTGAGTGTCTTTAGCAAGAAGAACCTGGTATGATTCCCGGATACTTTTGTGATCAATGGACAGCATTTATATGGAGCATTTAGGAAAGGTAGGCTCACAAAGTCTCATCTGTGGTTAGTTATGATAGAAAGGCATTGGTTAAATTACATGTGGCCTTTCCTTTCAGTGGAATCCTCTATATATCCCACCATTAAAAACCATGAAGTAAAATACTTTACTGACAGCGAAAAATGGTCACCATACATAAAGTGAGAAGATGCAACTGAGCAAAAAAGCATCTACCATATGACTCCAAATATGTATACAAACATATGTACATACATACATACTCACAAAATACACATTCACACATACTGCTTTTTAAGCGGGCATAAGATATATTTTTCTTCTTTGTACTCTTCTGTGTCTTCCTAATTATAAAACATACTATGCAGTAAGGAAAAAAAAATGTATCTATTAACAAGCTAAACAGACCACACAAATGAAACAGGGTGCTATCATTCCCGTAAGAGAGAGAGGCCAGGCTGATCTCTGTGGGGTATGAGTAATCCATAAACGTTAAACCCTTCTATTTAAACCTTGCAGTTTTAAACAAATAGGAAGATGGAAAGAGGCTCATTCTCAAGCTTACATAACAGAATCACAGTTTAAGGCATTTAGAATTACAATGGCCCGCTCTTCTACACACCTGTATCCACAATTGTATGGTCAGTGGCTCAGAAAGCTGGGGTCTCTCAGTGCAGAAGTTTATCTTCTCTACACCGAGTTCTAATTTGCCAAGTTAAGTTTTTAGCTGCTCTTTGCAGACCTTCTATCTGGAAGAGACTTCCCCCTCCAGGTAGAAGTTGACCTCCAATCTGTAGCTGACTTAGGACAAATAACTGACCAATCAAGTATTATAAACTAATGCTTTCAGGGCAGGGCATGGGAACCATGTAGCAATTTACAGGTCAAATTCCTATCAGTAGCTGGCTATCCTTTTCTTCAAAATATGCAAAGAACACATTGCCTCTTTTAAGCCCTCCAAAATAAACACTGTTTCCTAAACAGAACAAAGAAACAGACTCAATTTTGAACAGCAGAGTTGTTCATTCAAAGGTCTAGGACATTCCTAAATAGAACAGCATTCCATATCCTGAATTACCCCACAACCCTTCAAAATATAGACTTGGGTCAGAGAAGAGCTGTGGCCTCAGAATAAGTGGGAAGCCTGGCCTTGGAAGGACGGCGCCTCACTGCTTCATCTGTACGTTTGAGCAGGTTCCTTCTTACCATTAGTAACCTAGGCTTCCTAATACCCAACCCCGCAAGGCTGCTGGAAAGCTTCAATGAAACCACCTACATTATTTCCCAGGTCACCCAACAATGAGCTACTAACGCCTGGAAAACACTCAATAGTTCATAAAATACTTCGTGACTCTCCAAACTGTCAGAAAGAAAACTGACTTGGCTGCATTTCTGGTAAATAATGCAACATTAAAGAGTTACCTGTATTACAGGTATGACCTTAAAAACCTGTATTACAGAGTGACCTTAAGGCAACATTTTTACAACAAAAACTTTTTAAATAATTCCTAAAAAAATGTATCAAATAAACTTTTAAAACTTTTCTATCTGGAACGCCACCAAGTTATGATTTTAAAAAGAGAAAGAAAAGAAAATCAGCCAAGAGGGCTGGACCAGTGGTCACAGAAAAGGAAAGGAATCTGACATTAAAAGAACTGTCATGAAACAAAAATGAGTGACTAATGGATAACAGGTAGAAGGCCTGCAGCAGTGTGATGCTCTGTGGAGTCCTGGCAGAACCTGCCGTGGTCCCTCAGGACACCAAGATTTACAAAAGACTGAGTGTGGGTGGCTGAAGCCGTGAAGCCACAATATCGAGTAAGTGCCAACCTCAGCCTCTCCTTGTTGGAGGTGATTTACTACAGATGCCACAAGTGGCCCATTTCTTTCTCTGACACTCCAAAACTGCCTGCAGAACAGAGGCACGATCAATGCTGTTCTTCTGGGCAGGGTGCCACGGCCCTAAAGACCATCCCATCATACGTACCAACTTAGCAGCCAAGTAAGTTGGTCACTGTTAGGAAACATCTGTGTTTAGGAGTAAGGAAATGAGAGAAAGGAGAAGTCCCTGGTGAGAAAGGGTTTTAGGTAGTAACCTGTAGGAGACAAAAGCACTATGTTCCCCTGGGGCTAAGGGCACTGACTAGGATCACCTATGTGAGCCCAATCAAGGGGCTTCGTGTATTCAAAATACCTAGGTAACACTGGGAGGGCACTGTGGGAGAGGTACACAAGCACAACCCAAGTCTTCACCCTCAAGGCACTTATATGTTCGATGCAGAGAGACAGAAGTAAGTGGTCACACTCCTCTGTTGCATGACTTAAGCTGCACTTACTCACATCCTAATCCCACCACTGGTTCACTGTCAACTTCACCACAGGGCCTCAATAGCCTCATCCGTCCTAGCACTAATGTTCACAGGTTTAAAATCAAAACAAGGCTGAAAGAAAACCACTAACAAATAGGATAATGCAAGGGCTGAATTACAAACAGAAAGAACAGACAAGAGGCTAATGTCTGTGGCTACAAAGATCTATGTAAGGCACATGAGCTCCACTTCCTCTCCAGTCTGCCCTGCACCCCCATCCCACACAAACGATCCTTCCTACGGCCACTGATGACCTCCATGTTGCTTAATGCGTGATCATCTTTTGGTACTCATCTTACTTGGAGCGTCAGCAGAACTGATTCCTCTCTCCCTTTTTAAAAAAAATTATTTATTTAATTTATTTATTTTTGGCTGCATTGGATTTTCGTTGCTGCGCACAGGCTTTCTCTAGTTGCAGCGAGCGGGGGCTGCCCTTTCGTTGCAGTGTGCGGGCTTCTCATGGCAATGGCTTCTCTTGTTGCAGAGCACGGGCTCTAGGCTCACAGGCTTCAGTAGTTGTGGCACGTGGGCTCAGTAGTTGTGGCTCATGGGCTCAGTAATTGTGGCTCATGGGCTCTAGAGCACAGGCTCAGTAGTTGTGGTGCATGGGCTTAGTTGCTCCGCGACATGTGGGATCTTCCCGGACCAAGGCTCGAACCCATGTCCCCTGCATTGGTAGGCGGATTCTTAAACCACTGCGCCACCAGGAAAGCCCCCTCTCTCCCTTTTAAAACATCATCTTCTTCTGGATTCTGTGTACAACACTGGCCTGATTTTCTTCCTATTTCACTATAAAGTCTTTCTCAGTCTTCTGCCAACACCTCCTGTTCTATCCTACCCCTAAATGGACTGATTTCTGAGCCCTCTTCTCTTCTCACACTATAATTTCTGCCTGGGTAACCTCATCTATTACATTGGCTTGGTTCCATACACATCTATGTCTCCCCAATTATCTACAACACAGACACAAAACTACCTTCTTAGGGTTGACACTGGGATGTCTCGTAGCAATGCACATTTAACAATATCCACACCAGGATCCCTTGATCCTGCACACCAGGATCCAGGATCCTTGATCCCTGCACACCAATCCTGTTCCTTTCCCACACTTCCCCAGCTCAGTAAATGTCACTCCCAACCACCCAGTTCCTCAGGTCCTAAACCTGAAAGTCATACTTAACACTCCCTGCTCTTCTTCCTCACCACCCATCACCACTCCTCCCTTGTAGAGAAACTTGGGTTTTCTCTTGATATTTTTATTCCCTGTAAGTGTTATGTGTGGCATCATTGGTTCCTGCTCATGTAAACTACTAAAAGCAGCTCCAACCTCTATACCTCTCTGCTTCTCCTTTGTCACTATCCAGTCCAGAATCTCCTGCTGTGTCCACCTAGTGATGATGTCTCACCTGGATGAATGCAACAGCCTCCTTACTATTCTCCTCATGTAATGTTTTGCCCCCTCCCACCTCCACTTCATCCTCTAAGTCCTCAGACAGCCTGCCCACTTCCCATAACACCATGTCCTCACCCCTCCTGTCCTCTTCCTGTCACCCTTCTGGGCCGCCATATTGGTGCATGTGAATGTCCTGGCTGATGCTCTCAAGAACATCAATGATGCCAAAGAGATGCAAACACCAGGTTCTTACTAGACTGTGCTCCAAAGTCATCATCCAGTTTCTAACAGTAATAACGAAGAATGGTTACATTGGCGAATTTGAAATCACTGATGACCACAGAGCTGGGAAAATTGTTGTGAACCTCATGGGCAGGTTAAACAAGTGTGTAGTGATCAGTCCCAGATTTGATGTGCAACTCAAAGATCTAAAAAAATGGCAGATTGCCCATTTGGTTTCATTATACTGACAACCTCAGCTGGCATCATGGACAAAGAAGCAGCAAAACAAAACACAGGAAAGAAAATCCTGGGATCCTTTTCCTAGGGATGTAGTACACACGTGCAAATGAAATGCCTCAATGGACAAAGGAAATAAAAGAAAAAGAAAATGCATCAGCTTATCAGCTCCTTGGAGAGGTCTTCCCTGACAGCTCTCCTCCAACTGAATTCGGTTTTCCCATTTTCTCTCTCTCAACCGTCTCTTCTGCTGGAGAGGCAGTATCCACACTGGCAAATGGAAGGGATTGCCCGGGTCAAATCCCAACTCCACTGTGGGGCCCCGGGTAAGTCACTTAATCTAAACTCTGGTACCCTTATCTGTAAAATGAGGTAAATATTCTCTGGAAGACAGGGTTTTGTGAGGATTAAATGAATAAATACATGTAAAGTCCTTACAACATAGTGCCTGGCCCAAAGTTGGAGTGTTCATCAAGCATTAGCTATTAGGATGTTTCTTCATGGCACTTACCATAACTGGCAATTAAACATGCGCTATTTTCTTTGTTTATGCTCTCCCTCCCCTACTATACCGTAAGTGTTAGCTCCAGTTCCAGTATGGCCACTAATGTTTTTTGCCCCCCTGTCCTTGGCTTCCCCACTTCTTCAGTGAAAGGGATGACTAGGTGACCTCTCGGGTACCTTACAGTTCTAATCTCTAACAGACTAAAGAGGCCTCTTACAGAGAAGTAATGAGAGGTAAGGTTAGAGACTGTGGGCAGCTTTGAAAAACTCTGAGAAGATGATGTCTTGTAAGATGTAACAGAAAGGAACTGGGATTTTCTGAGCAGATACCAACTTGGTCACAATAAAACAGCATGCAGGCCAATGAAGGCAGAGAGGGCCTAGAGTTAAAAAGCCATGACGAAGCTCCTACCGGAGCGCTGGGGGGAGGAGAGGCGCACCCAGACCAAGCACAGTCACTGACCAGTTCCTGGTGACTGATGACCAAGATAATTCTTCAGTTTCTTGTCTGGGTGCTTGAGAGAATGGTGGTCCTGAGACAAACAAACAAGTTTCTTTTAGGAAACTTTCTTGTAGGGAAGACAGAAAGACAATAAGAGTTTGCTTTCAGATACCTTAAACCTGAGGCAACACTAAACGAGGGAGAGAGCAGCACAAGGACCCTCCATGCCAATCTTCAGCCCAGCTCGCTGAACCAATCTTAGGGTCCTCACTTGCCCCACACATTACAAATAAGATGTGCCCTCTTTCTCCCTGTCCCTGACCTGTGCCACCTGCCAACCCCTCCCCCATACCTCCTTCCTTCAAGAAAACCTATCAGATCTAGCAAAACTCCCCCTCTCCAGGCAGACTTCCTGGATTACACCTTTCAGCTTCTTAGTATTTCAGATTTTAGTGCCCAGTTAGCATGACAATTTTAAAAATCAACTATCAGGACTTCCCTGGTGGTCCAGTGGGTAAGACTCCGTGCTCCCAATTCAGGGGGCCCGGGTTTGATCCCTGGTCAGGGAACTAGATCCCGCATGCATGCCGCAACTAAGAAGTCTGCGTGCCACAAGTAAAGATCCCGCATGCCGCCACTAAGACCCAGCACCACCGAAATAAATAAATAAATAAATATTTTTAAAAATCAACTATCAATATCTTATACAAGGCAGATGTTCCACCTCCCCAACAAAACTGGGAATTCTTCTGGGCAGGAACGGAATCAGTTGCTTCTTTTGCATCTTCCTCCTTCCACGCCTTGGGCCCAGAGCAGTGCCAGCCCCTCAGTGGTTGCCGGCTCAAGGACCTCGCTACGCTCTCTAATCCTGACAGAGCCAGGCCCTCTGGCTCTCAGTGGGGAGACCATGTGGCTCCCAGCCCAGCCCCAACTGGGTCTGCTCCAGACACCTGGTGCATGTCCATGGCCAGGGCTGCAGTGGCAAGGACAGGGCATTTGAAGTCAGTTTGATGAATGATATGGTAGAAGGCCACAATCTTGCCTTACTGGCTGAGAGCACAGGAGCAAACTGATTCATTAGTGGCGTTTGCTGTTTTGATAAGACTGATTTTAACGATACAATTAAATAATGTCTGATTGCTCAACAGTGATACCTGGGTTGCTCCCACACAAGCAGAGCTCTGTTTGTCCTAGCTGGTGAACAGCCCCTTTCTCAGGGAAGTATTGTCAAACCCATCTAAGGCAGAAAAGTAATCCAACAAGCAGTCCTTGGAAAGCAAGATATCTCCCAGAAGAAATAAAAAAATAAACACAAAACACCTTTCTATATCACAGTAGGATCTAAAAATGTTGCTGTGGGAACCAGAGATGAGTCTGGCGCCTACTAACTGTGACATGACCCCGTGTGACCACAGCAAGTCCATGATCACAGTCTGGTTCAGTGTCCTTCTGTAAAATTCAGAGGACTAATTTTAGTGAATTAGTTAGAATGGCCCATTCCAGCCTGGATCAGAAGGGCAATATGATGGTAAATTATCTGCAAAACAGGGAAGAGGATGCATTGCTTTGTTTTGTTTAAAAGGATGTAGAGAAAAGAGCAACACACAGAGAGCTCAGAGCCAAGGTGAGCTCTGGTAGGCCACGTGCCTCCTGAGGTGAGAAAGCCACTGGTCACCACCTGGCCACAGAAGCATGAGTGCAGCGTTGTAGTTACTGCTTGGAAGAGCTGATAAAGAGTTGATAAAGCCTCTTCATCAGGCACCCAAGGTCCGTATTTCAAAACAGCTGAGTGCAAGTTTCTATGTCATGGCCCTAATGCACCAAAACTCTATTGACAAAACTCTTGCTGTGCAAACCTAAACACTATTGATAATGGCTGTACTGAAACAATGGAGTGGCATGCCAAAGAAAAACAGAAACAGAACAGAAAACAAGACCAAAATACTTTTAAGTGATGAATTAAGGTCTCCTTTAAATTATTTTCCGTAATTATCGAGCCAGCAGTCCATTGTTATTAATTCATATTCAGCCTATTTAAGCGGTACCAGCAACACAGGCTGAAAACAAATGCCTCAGTAATTTCCTAACTTTTGAGTGTTATTTTCTTGTCAGTTAAATTTAAAGCAGCCCATTTGTGACCACATTATACCAAGTTAATCTCATCTAAAGTGCTTCACAAACCCTAACAGCGACGCTAAGGTTTTATACTAATGAAAGCAATTTACATAAATGAAATTTATGTCAATGCATTTCATGACAAATTTTTTATTTTATAATAATTATAGTACTTATATGATAACATCTGTTGATAGTCACAGTCTAAACCTGGCAAAGATTTAAACCCACAACATTTTCCATGCATCATGTACATTATCTGTGAAAAGCAATAAAGAAAAAGTAATGAATGCATTAATCACACCAACACCATCTGCAAGGCATGAATCTGCAATACCTTCCACGTCAGCTCAAGCTGCGTTTTATGTTTTACACACCTGATTTTACGCCATCTGTAAAAGGGCAAGACAAAGACTTTTGAGGAAATTATATTTCTTGGCTGTTTGGCTTTTACAAAATACTCAGGCGAAGTTGTGTAAACGGAAGGTTTACTATACTACTAAGAAAACACGATGCAGCTAAAAGTCCATTTTTATTAAAGGACGGTGTAATCACCACAACATTTTCACACTGCAGTGTGGTGTCATATCTGCATTTTTTACACCTGTTTTACATTTCCCTTCGTCTATCTATCACATGTGTTTTTACAAATACACATCAGCTCTAAACCTCTTCTATGACACAAACAGCAGAAGCAAGACTCCAAATGATAACATTTTAGGCTCTAACTTCCCTACCCTGGTGGACACCAAACCAACGTCCCAGCCACCACCTGACAACATCAGCGTGTCCTGCCCGGGACTCCCCGGGACTCCAGGAATAACTTCAAAGTGAAAACCAACATGAAAACACCAAGCAGATATTCTTACCAGCTTCCCAAATTTTAGGTAAAGTTTACTAAAAGGTAGCGTCTCTACTCTCTACTCCAATGACAACTGTGAACACTTTCTCAGGTTTCTAGTTGGCTAAAAAAGCCCATCAGTGGGCACATGTTAAGAGCAAGCAACTGGTGTGATAATCAGACAAGTTTTCACTTTCCCTAGCTCCCAGACACACAGATAATAGCCTAAACTTTAAAAGCAAAATGACATTTTCTAACCTATATGATGCCGAAGCCTTAAGAACATCCTCACTGAGAGTGTTTCTTTACCCTCACCAGGCAGTGAATATCCACTTTCAAGAGTACTCAGATGTGACATTTATATTACTGAATTACTGACTCATAACTTAATGAACAATAAAAACTGAACTAATTCGTTCACAAGGAGAGTGCCTGAGACCTCCACCCATGTCCTGCCAGGATCGTTAAGATTTTCATTAACAGTTGTCTGTCTTCTGGTATCAACAAGCCTTTGACTTCACTAAGTGTTTCAGAATGTTAACCATAAGCCTATTATCAAATTCCTCAATAAAACATCTTTACAGAGTAAGTCACCAACAGTAACTTTCAACTGCTCTACAGCAGGAGCTCCAGGACAGGAATAGAAACCATTTTACAAACCCCAAACTTACATATGGTGGGTGTTACTGCTGCTAGACACACAGAACCCCACTCCTCCACCATCGCCACCACCGCCGAGGCCATTCAGAAGCCCCCTCCCTACTCCAGTGCCAGAAATCTTTTAACAGCAGCAGTTACATTAACCAAAATGTGATGAACAAGACAAAGCACAAATAGAGCTTGGACCCTGCCCTGTGAGAGATACTCAACTTGGACAAGTTATTTGACTGAACCATGTAAAAGAGCCATTTTTGTAGGTCAAATCTGGCTGAATATCAGCCAGTTCGTAAGATTCCATCTAACAAAATCGAATACCCTGCAGGCAGGCCCACCTAATAAAGCACAGATGAGGTACAGGAGCTCCTCCTGGAACGCAGAGAATTACAGTTCTTTTTCACAAAGCTCAGTCCCTCTCTCATGAATCAAACCTGCTCTCCATTACCAAGTGGAAAATCCTTATCTCCTCCAGCCAGAACTCTTCATTCACCCAAAAGGTACCAAACTAGGTCAGCTGACGCACCCCCACTCTTACCTATTCCTGATACTAAGTTTGTTTCTGCACTGAACAGGGGTGGTCCAGTATCCAAGAAGGAGAGACTGGGGACAGCCTTCCCAGGGGGCTGTGATGCCGCCTGGCCCACCTGGGCTCCTGCCCTGGAGGGCTCCACCTGCTGGCATCTGGAGTAGCTGTTGCCTGGGTTCAAATCCTCATCTTCTAAACCTGCTTCCAAAGCATAAAATTTCCTCTGATTTTTTTTTTTTTTAATTTTTGGCTGCGTTGGGTCTTCGTTGCTGCGCGTGGGCTTTCTCTAGTTGCGGTGAGTGGGGGCTACCTTATTGCAGTGAGCGGACTTCTCATGGCGGTGGCTTCTCTTGTTGCGGAGCACGGGCTCTAGGCGCGTGGGCTTCAGTAGTTGCGGCAGGCACGGGCTTCAGTAGTTGTGGCTCGCGGGCTCTAGAGCGCAGGCTCAGTAGTTGTGGCGCACAGGCTTAGTTGCTCTGCAGTATGTGGGATCTTCCCGGACCAGGGCTCAAACCCGTGTCCTGTCCCCTGCATTGGCAGGCGGATTCTTAACCACTGTGCCACCATGGAAACCCATTTCCTCTGATTTTATAAGCTTCCCACTTGTCCCTACATGACAATGCCTAACAAAATGTATCTTTATGGAAGGCTCACACCCACATTTCTAACTGACATTTTGTTCTTTCAACACTATCACCCTGCAGTTGCCAAACAGCTAAGAATACGTTTACATGTCACTCAGAGACCTCTCCCTCCTTATGTCTACATGAACAGAAAAAAAAGCAAAACTCCTTTACAAATGCCAACCCCACCCTAAGTCCAAGTACTCCAAGTGTCGAAACTTCCTGCCTCGGCCCTGGCACTGCCATGCTCGGAATACCCATGGAGTCTCACCATTACCTTTGCACCACCACCGAGGAAAGACAGTGGGCTAACAGCAACCAAAACCCAC